CAAGATTCTAACAGAAATGAACCTGAAGTTGAAGTTTAGACTTGCAAAGATGAAGAGAGAATCTTCTAAGTAGCCACTAGGAAACAATTACATAGCAATAAATAGCAGTTTGAATTGTACTAGATTCAATAAGGATAACAGATTAAAGAAATTACAATGCTATGTACCAAAAAGTAGGGAAATAAGCCTCCAGCTTAGAATTTCCTATCCTGCAAACAGAATATACTTCATTATGGAAAAAAAAACCCAAAAAACGTGGTTCTTCAGAATTATTTCCTGGCAAAAAATCCGGTACTGGATAGACCATTTAACATGAAGATTTGCCAAACTGCTAAAACTTAACTTAAGAAATTTATCATGCAGATTTACCAAACTGCTAAAACAAAATAATCTAGACTTGAATGCAAGTAAGAAATACAAGATGACCAAATGTTAACATAGATGTAGAGGAAGGAAAGTCTCCTGTAGATTCTAAGTAACACTTAGTAGCATAATGATAATAATAGCTAGCAATTTATATAGTGCTTTAAAGTTTGCAAAGTACTTTACAGATATTCTTATTTTATCCTTACAGCAGTCCTGGGAGAATGAAAGGAAAGTGATTTCTAAATCACATTCTTATTTTGGCTATTCAGGAAAAGATTTTTAAAAGATTGTATCATTAAAAATAAAAGGAGGATCTCTCTTTTATGTGGTTGCAAGAAGAAAAGAGGAGGGACAATCAAGATTGTATTCTTAAAAAGAGAGTTAGTATGAACAGAGTTCTGGGTTTGGAGTTGACAAGACCTCAATTCAGGTCCTGCCTGTAACACTAACCGTGCCCCTTGGCAAGTCATTTAACCTGTCTGTGTTGGTGTGGGCAGGGAGGTAGAGAGGACAGAACTGGTATTTTTTAGTATATTTTAATACAATTAATCAGATCCTGCTTTTTAAAACAAAATACTGTAGTAGCTATGTGTGTGTGTGTCTATCCAATAGAAGGAAAACAAAACAGAACGGTCATAATCTTGAATATTCATGGACTAAATTCACCAATAATGGAAACCAGCAGAATAAATTAGAAAACCCCACAATTTGCTGCTTAGCAAAAATTAAATTGCTTGAAAAGCCAATAATTTCATACAAGTCAAAGGCCACAATAAAAACTGTCATTTCAGCTAAATTTTAAAAAAAGACAAAACTACTATCTTAATCATGAATTCAGGTAAGGCAATAGATACCATTAAGAGAGACAAATGGATCAACTACATTATAGATCATAGATTTAGAACTGAAAGAGACTTTAGAAGTTGTCCAGTCAAACCCTCTCACTTTATGGTTGAGCATTCAAGTCTGAGAGCTTAAATGAATTGCCCAGTGTCACAGAGATAGTTGAAACAGTAGGATAAAAGATAACATACACTGTATTAATGATATAAAAATAAAAGACATATGAAATACATATAAGAGATATATAGACGGGGGGAAAATCTTGTAAACAAATATCTGAAATTTAAAGATAATTGACAGAAATCCCTAGGAGTTATTCCTAAATAAATATTTAGCAGAAAGGAATAAACATTTCTCAGAAGAAACACAAATTATCAATAACCATCTTAAAAATACTCAAAATTACTAATAGAAAAGTACAAATTGAGTCAATTCTTAGGTTTCCATACTTATCAAATTGGCATAGATTTAATGGAAGAATTCATTGGGGAAAATATGGTATAATGGACTCACTGATTCACTGCTGATGGAGCTATGAATTGGTCCAACGATATTGGAAAATGAGCTAAAAAAGAGAATTATTCTTTGACCCAGCTACCCCACTCTTTGTGGTTATTATTTAAAGGCTATCATTAACAACAAAGACATATCTATATTGAAAGTAAAAACGTTACTACTTATAGTAGGAAAAACCTAGAAACAAAGCTGCATGGTGGACAGTTGAAGGATAGCTGAACAAATTATACTATATCAATAATATTTGATAAGATATTCTATCTTACCACAAGGAACAATAAGTATGAAGAATTCAAAGAAATATAAGAAGTCATCTTTAAAGTAATATATAGTGAACAATGCAGAACCAGAAGGAGCAATATATACAGTTAAAACAACCATGCAAATCACAACTTTAAGTGGTAATAAAATTTAAATTTTCTTTTGAGTAATAATGGCAATCATTAAAGAGGTACTTTGTGTCCTGATGCAATTAGTGCATTATGCAGAAAGAAACATAAAAAGAAGTATAGGGAATGCCTCTTCCAGAGCAGAGAATACCTTGACTAGTAAACGTCTTGTTTTCTGTCTTCTTTGAAACAGATTATCAGAGGGTCACCGAATATAGTTATCTTCTTGGTTTCATTTATGAAAGAATCCTGTATTACCTTAAAAAATAATCTATTATGATCATTACAAAAAATTGACTCAGTACAGGAAAACTTTAGACTCTTCTCCAATTAATACATATACTAAGTATCTGCTATATCCCAGGCTCTCTACCAGGTACTAGAAATACAGAGACAAAAAGGGGCTTACATTCTTTCTGGGGAGATATGTATACAAATAAATACCAAATAAAAGGATTTTTGAACAAGACAAATCTCTTGAATACTGTAGTGGCTGTTTTCTTCTTATTTGGTGATCAACAAAGAGTAAGTATGATTAGTTTCTTATATTCTCATTTTGGGCAACAAGAGAGTTTGAATAGGTAAGATTTTAATTGCTATAATTATAGATAGTGTCATTCTTCTTTAGTCTTCTAATTTGATGTTGATTTTGACATTTTAGTCAGTTGTGGTTTGCTGTATAACATTGCTTATAAACACTTTCCTGTTTCTTATGCTTTTATCAAGCATAGTGTCAATATGTGTATATATCATGTTCATAAAGATTTTTTAAAAATGAGAAAGAAGCATATAGGTAGTTATATATGTCCTCTCAATTACCTTTTTGGGGTAATATCATATACATTTCCCCGTGTTCTTCTGGTATCTTCTGAACCCTGAGAGATCTTGTTAGGTAATCCCACAACATTTTTAGAAGCAGTTGGTTGGCACAGTGCATAGGGTACCAGGACGACTCATCTTCCTGAGTTCAAATCTGGCTTCAGCCACTTCCTACCTATGTGACCCTGTACAAGTCACTTAACTCTGTTTGCCTCAGATTCATCATCTGAAAAACTAGCTGGAGAAGGAAACGGCAAATCACTCCAGTATCTTTGTCAAGAAAACTCCAAATGGGGTCAGGAAAGGTCTGACACTACTAAAACAACAACAACAATGGTTTTTAAGATTGTGTCAACTATAGCATAGATTTCCTTGTTATATTCTTAGTGTGGTAAAACCACTCTTCTAAAATCTTATACAGCACATCAGGATTCCAGTATTAGGCCAGATGTGGTAATTCCACTATTGCTAATATTGAAAATGGAGCGTTATAGAAGCATTGACCATTCTTTTTCCCATCAGTTTTTTGTCCTGCTACTTTAATTAATGAATGTTCTTGAGAGGCAGGATTCTTTTGAGTCTCATACCAATAGAGCCTTTCTGTATTATGAATACTCTTCATAACATGATTGAATTGAAGCACTTGTGGACATTTTATAACCTGCCATAATTTCTACTTTCGTTGTATAATCTCTGAGAGTCTAGGCTCACTTTCATTTCACAGTGAGGCATCAGAATAGGACTTTGTAGAAAAATTTAGGCATAAATATATTCACATACATATATACCTATAATTAGCATATATCTAAATATGTTATATGATAATTAACATTTGTAAATAATTATTTAATATGAAATATACAAAATACATCCTTATGACTCTCCTAAAAGGATAACTAAGAAACCTTGAATGATTACTGCTTTTACTACATTATCCATATCTTTCAGGTTCACCATTAGATATGGACCTACCAGGTGTAGAGGAACCATGACTGTGCTTGTTTATTTCGCAGTATCCATGATATAATAGTATGGGTATGATTTTCAGTAATGAAGATTATAACCCAACTATGCTTTTCTGGTCCTGTGCAATTAATTGGTGCCTTTCCATAAGTCCTTTATACCCAACACAATGGAGGTCTTTTGGGGGCATTTTAATATTTCGTGAATATCAGTGCAGTACTTGAACTGTTTAGCTGCTATCCTCTATCTCATTACATAGCTTGCCTACCACCTTTTCTGACCATATATATCCCTTATGTCTTTGATGGCACTTGTCATATAGAAGTAATTTTTGGTGTTTTGTTCTAATCTATACCTGTCCACCATATGTTTTTCCATTGCTGTTAGGGTCACTTTCAGTTTTGATTTTTATGATATTGTGGTAAGTTTGATTTATAGCCATGTAGCCTCATCAGGAAAATGTTGCTATTAAAAAGCTGTGTTTGTAGATTATGGAATTATACAGTTTCCAAAATATAATCTAACCTATTCTTCTCCCATTCTGTTCTGACCCATGTTTGTTCTCTTACCCATTGACAGTTGATATAGTACATCAGTACATACATCTTTACAATTCTCAGTCATTGAAGTAAATAATACAAAACATTTGCCCCAAATTAAACATGATTAATCTTCTATAGAACACAATGTGCTTTTCATAAATCATAATACAAAGGGCAGGTAGGTGGCACAGTGGATAGAGCACCAGCCCTGGATTCAGGAGGACCTGAGTTCAAATCCGGCCTCAGACACATAACACTCACTAGCTGTGTGACCCTGGGCAAGTCACTTAACCCCATTGCCTAACAAAAACAAAACAAAACAAAAAATAAATCATAATACAAGTAATGTTTTGACAATTTGTATCTAACTGAAATAAATTAATTGCTAGTTATATTTTGTTAAAAATAATTTAAAATGTCACTTTACAATGTAAAATAATTGACTTTAAGAAATGTGCTCTAATGTTACATGTATTCTTTTGTTTCCAGAGCTAGAAAACTTGAAAATATATGCCAATTTTGAAGTTTACATTGATTGCAATTTTATTGTTTGTTTTTATAGGAGATTACATTCTTGATGCAAAACCAAAAGAAATTTCAGAAATTCAGCGTCTAAACTATGAGCAGGTAATAAAAAAAGGATGTTTGTTACAAAATGGAAATCATTTTATTTAGTTTAATGTGAATTTAGTATGCCTTGATATATATGATATATTCTTGAAAAATTACCTGTAAACTTATCACAGATGTTATTTTCTCATTCACACTAGAAAATCAAGAGTTCAGTGTTTAGGAAATGTGAGTGAGAGAGTGTGTTCTGCTTTTACTAAGTCCCACCAGTTGCACACTGTGCACAGGTGAGCACCCAGTGGTTTATTTCATACCATGATTACATTAAGTAGTGTTATAAGGAAATAGAATTTCTTCCTTAATTGTCTCTTCTTCACAGTTGTTAACTGGCTTAGTAGCAGAAATAGGAATGAAATTAGAACTGTGTTTGTGACTCTGGACAAATAACTCTACCTCTACCTGCCTTCATTTCCTTTTCTATAAAATGGGGATAATAATAATGCCTACTTCATAGAGTTGTCAGGATCAAATGAGATAATGCATTTAGTACACTCTGTGAACATCACAGTGCTATATAAATACTAGCTATTATTTGAAAAAAAGAAGGAAAAAATCTGTAATAAAGAGGGGACAGGGAACAAGTAGAGTAGAAAGTGTTAGAGGAAGATACACATTTAACAATTATAATTGTGAATGTGAATGAGATGAATACACCCATAAAATGAAAGAGAATGGCAGAAGGAAATAGTAGAATCCAAACATATACTGTTTATAAAAAATAAACTTGGAACATACTTATACAGTTGCAATTAAAAGGGTCAAAGAAAAAAAAATCTTGTTATCCCTTAGCTGAACTTAGAAAAGCAGGGATAGAAATCATTAGATAAGACAAAAACAAACAGTATATTTGATTAAAAGAGATAAGGAAACTACATTTTGTTGGAAGATACTATAGACAATGGATGAATGTCAATACTTAGCTCTATGCACCAAATGGCATAGCATTTAGATATTTAGATGAAAAGCTAGACAACCTATATAGAGAAAAATGGAAGAATAGAGGGGTACCTCAACATACCCCTTCTCAGAACTAGACAGAGCTAATTTGAAAAGAAAGAGGTTAAGAATCTTAACAGGAATTTTAGAAAAGTTTGGTATGATAGATCTCTGAAAATTCTTCATTTGGAATAGAAAGGATTATACATATTTCTTTACTATGCATGATACCTTGACAAAAATCAGCCATGTACAGCATCAGGAAACTATGATCTTTGAGCCAAATCTAGCCCACCACCTGTTTTTTGTACAGTCTGCAAATGATAATTTGTCTTGGCATTTTTAAATAAAGTGTTAAACCCTGTATCAGAGCATAAAAACTTCACAAAAAAATATGATGAAGCAGTAATACTAAACACATCCTTTACTGGCTACAGTGTAATAAAAATTATATTTAGTGAAGAGCCATTTAGAAAGGACTAAAAATTATCTTGAAGCTAAGTAACTTAATCATAAAAAATTAGTGGATCAATGAACAAATTGTAAAATGACAGGTAATTTCATTAAAGATAGTGACAACAGTGAAAAAACATGACAAAATTTTGGGGATGTAACCAAAATAGTCTTTATGTCTCTAAACACTTTGATTGGCAATGGAGAGAATGAACAGATCAGTGAATTAACCCGTTTTAAAGCCCAAATTAAATAGAACTAGAACAGTGAAAATCAGTCAAATGATTAACAAAATTGAAAGCAAAAAGACAATTACATTAATAAACTAGTAGCTTAAAAAATAATAAAATAAATCATTAACTAATTTGATTAAAAACAAAGACAACCAAATTACCAGTATCCAAAAATGAAAAAGGAGAATTCATAACAAATGAAGAAAATCATTTTAAACAAAATTCAACATTCATTTCTCTTTAAAACCACTAAAAAAAACCTCAAGGAATAAATTGACTTTTCCTTAATGTGTTAATTAGCATTAAAGCACATAAATCTTCAGCATTTCTATTTATTATAAATAAAATGCATCAGGAAGAAATAGAAAATGAAATTCCATTCAAAGTAACTATGAAATATGTAAAATCTTGGAGTCAGCCTACCAAGATATACAAAAGAACAATTTAAATACAATTACAAATCACTCTATGGTAATAGTGATAGAGCTAAATATTTGGAGAAATATCAATTGCTCATCATAGTAAGCCAGGCCAATATAATAAAGATGACAATTTAAATAAATTAGTATAGTAACATATTAATTTTCTCAGTGCCGTACCATCAGACTACCAAAGGATAACTTTATGTAACTAGAAAAATCAACAACAGAATTCATGGAGAAACAAAAGGTCAAGAATCTCAAAGGAAATAATGGGAAAAAAAAGTGGGAAGGAAGCGGCCTAGCAGTACCAGATCTTGAACTATACTACAAAGCAATAATCATCAAAAGTAGTTTTTTCTGATTAAAAAATACAGAAGTTGAACAGTGGAACAGATTATGTAGACAGTATACCAAAGCAATTGAACCATGTGGCCTACTATTTGATAAACTCAAAGACTCTGCCTACTATGGTAAGGACTCACCAGTTTTTCGAAATTAGCTGGCAAAACTGGACAACAATATGGCAGAAATTAAGTTTGAACCAACACCTCACACAACATAACACACAACATAAGCTCCAAATAGATAATAGGTATAAAAAGTCATAAACAAATCATAAACATATTATCAACCTATCATAAACATATTAACATATAGCAAATCATAAACATATCGTAAATAAATTTAAAAAGCAAGGAATAAAATATCTTGCAGATCTACTTATAGGTGGAAAATTTATGACCAGTTGAGGAATAAAGAGGATCGCAGAAAATAAAATGGGCAATTTTGATTATGTGAAATTAAAAATTTTTTGCACAAATAAAGTAAGACTAGAAGGGAAACTGTAATTAGGAAATAAATCTTTGCAGCAACTTTATCTACTAAAAGTCATATTTCCAATACATCTAATGAACTGAATTCAAATTTATTAGAATTAAGAGTCATTTTCCATTTGATAGTCAAAGGAAATGAACAAGTAGCTTTCTAAGAAAGATATCTAAGCTATCACTAGCCATATGAAAAAAAAATGCCTTAAATCACAAAGTTAGGAAAATGCAAATTAAACCGGTTCAGAAGTAACCTCACATGCATCAGATTGGCAAAATTGACAAAAAGGGAAAATCAGCAATATTGGAGGAACTGTGGGAAGATAGACACCTGGATACCTCGTTGGTAGAGCTAGGAATTGGTCCAATGATTCTGGAAAGCAATTTGGAATTATAAATTATGTGTGCCCTTTCACCTAGTTATACCATTACTAAGCCCATAATAAAGAGATTAAATAAATTAATTAAATAGGAAATGTCTTACATGTACAAAAATATGACAGCCAATTTATAGTAACCAAGAGAACATTGTGTACAGTAACAGCAATGTTGTTTTAAAAATGACTTTGAGTAAGTTATTTTGTCTATTATAAATATCTGAATTAGCGAAAGACTATCTGCATCCAGAAAAAGGACCAATAAATAGCAATATGTATAGAATAATTTTACATGCATACATGCATGCAAATATATATGTGTGTGTGGATGGGTGTGTATATACACCTATTTGTGTCTAATGGTAGCCATCTCTAGAGCAGGGAAGGGAGAGAAAAGGGGAAAAAAAAGGAATTTACATGATAATTTTATTGTATATTTGAAAGGAACAGCAAGTGCATAGTAGATTTACAGGTTCATGTACAATCATTTTTTTTGTACTGTGTTATGGAAATGCTTGTTTCATTCCATAAATTAAAAATAAAAAATATTTTTAAAATATTTATAATAGCTATTTTTGTAATAGCAAAGAACTAGAAACTAAGGGTATGCTTATCAGTTGGGAAATAGATGAACAAATTATAGTATATGAATGTAATGAAATACTGTTGTGCTCTAAAAAATGATAAAAGAGAAAGTTTCAGAGAACCCTAGGATGATTTGTATAAACTTATGCAATATAACTAGAGAGACAATATATACTATAATATCTATACTATGAAACAGTTTTGAAAGACTTAAGAACTCTGATCAGTGCAGTGATCTACCATAATTCCAGACTACAGTGACAAAGAAATCTAGCCATCTCCTGAGACTTGATGGATTAAAATGCTAGTTAAATGCAGAATACAAACATTTTTGTACAACACAAGTCTGTTGATTATGCCTATTTGTTGAAAGGGTTTTGATTTCCTTTTTCTCAGGGCAGGGGGAAAGGGAAGAACAATTGTATGCTTGACAGTTGAAAAATGTGAAATTTAATTTAAAGAGGAAAGATTCAAGGATGAAGTTGCAAACCTGGGTGACCCAGAAGAATGTTTGTATCCTCTGTAAAAATAGCCAAGTTAGAAGGAAAGTTGAGGCTTTCAGGAAAGATAATGAGTCTGTTTTGTGGACTCATTCAGTTTTAGATTAAGTCTGTGGGATAGCCAGGTGATGATGTTTACTAGGCAGCTGGCGATGTGAAATTAAAACTCAGGAGGGAGATAAGGACTGAATTTGCAGACTTAGGAGTTACACATATGGAGTGATTGAACCCATTAAAGCTGGGAAGACTGTAGAGAGACAGAGGAATTGTACAGTCTTATGTGATTCCCTGAAATACAGAGAGGAGGAAAGTTCATTTACTACAAAATTATCCCTCTAGGCTCTCTATCCCTTAATTCATCACCTTTGCTTATAAATTTATCAAGTTTTTTTCCAATTGAGTTGTCCTTTGACTTCACTTTGCTGTTTCCTTTATTGTTGCTTTTTATCTTCCAGTAAAACACTTCTTTCATTGAGTCCGTTTTATTATTTTCTTTCCACAAACAACTCCCATACTGTTTGAATTTCTTTATAATTGTGTTGTGCTAAATATCTTTCTTTAACTGATGCTAATTCTTCCTTAATTTCTGTAGTGGTTTTTGTTTTTTAAATCCAGTTTCATATGTTTTTTGCTGGGACCACTTTTGATTTTAATTCATTTTTTT